AAATTCATGCTCAAAGAATTCTTTGTTGATATGATTTTCTGATATTTTTTTGCAATCGGCTTGAGAACACGCAGGCAATCCAGTCTAGAAAAGAATTCCATACACGAATTCCTATACTCTGTACGCCAAATTTCTTTAAAAAATACAAATGGACTTTAGTTCCACTCTAAATAAAGTAGCAATTCGTACTTGCACCGACTTTAAAACACGATGAAACTTGCGGCGTAAAATCCAAGGCTTTCGTTTTTCAGGCTATTCTAAAGGTTTCAAGTTATTTTCAGAATGTTTTGGTCCAGGCTAAGAAGCGTTCTATAAAAATAAAACAGAGCTTTTTTAAGTGACCGCGTCTTACTTCCAAAGAAACTACAAATTTCTCTTCGATGTTGGGGAATGGCTAAATTCTTTATAGGAATTGTGAGGTTACTTTGGTACTTTCCGTCTATTCCAGAAAAAATTAACCTGGTATACGGCAATTCTTGCAATTGTTCCTCATCAGAGGCCTTTGTACAGTACGATGCTCTTTATCTTTTCATCGAATGAAAGTACAGTACATTACGTGCATCAATAATTAATTCTTCTTTACCCGAAATAAAAAACCGAGATTAGGGCCATTGAAGTACTGAATGGGGAACGTCCAAAACTAATTTGAAGACAAACAGAGCACAGGCATTGCTAATGGAATTTCCATGGCGGGATTTTGCCATCTAAGCCTCTACTGCAAACTTCCGGTTTAACTACCACGCTAATTATAGATGCCTGTTCTTTCAACAGCCAAGGAAGCTCGAGGCACAAATATATGTATACTGTATATTAATCCGGAACTCAGCTTTGCATTTCATCAAACTCTGTGAACTTTACCTTCCGGTTTCAATGGACGGATTAAAGAGAGTGTGCGTGTGTGTGTGTGAAAGCAAACGCTTTCTTTCCCTTCATTTTTCCCGTCTTCACAGATTTTTATATTTTCCGTATAGCTAACTAATTGGTAGAAACCCTCTCACATTCCTATGCGAGGAATTCATGCATCAGTGGACCATATTAATATCAAACATAAATTTATTGCAATAAAAATACGAGTAAAACCACAAAAACTGTATCAATCAATTGGCCTCCCCACATCAGATACTGGCGAAAAATAAAGACAGGAACTGCTTATATAGATCTGGATAGAAAAGGAACGTTGAAGTCTGCCAATATATATTTCGAGTTTATTTTTTAAGCAGGAATGCTGTATTCGAAAATTCAGAAAAAAAAAATTCATAATAAATTTCGGACGCAGTCACGGTCTAAATAATACAGCGATCGCACAAATTTATACTGTACTTCATCGAACTATACGTACTTAGTACTATACGGACATCTTCGGATACTATTTTAAAATTTCTAACTCAGGAAAAATCCCGGGAGGGGGGGGGGGGGG